TGGTTGACGTTCATACTTGGTTTTATTGCATATCTCGCATACTTTGACATAATTCTGTACGTCTTTCTCGATATTGGGCCAATAGAATCTTTTCTTTAAGGCTGCAATATTTTCAGTGATTCCTCTATGAGAGGTTTTAGTCTCATGATATTGCTGAATTTTCTCTTGTTGAAGATCAACTTCTGTGATGTCTTCTAATAGAGAGTTCGAGATGTACAAAGTAAATGAATTCGAATTAAACGATTCTTGTAATGCTCGTATCACAATAGGTTCTAAAGATTTATTTAGGAAATGAAGGCAATAAATACCAGGTGGTATGTATTCCTTTACTAAATTAGTAATTTGTGATGTTGTTGGATTATTTGGTAAGAAGAATATTATTCTCTTTTTATTACCAAATAGTTTGATTATCTCTTTTCTAATTGTGTTATTATTGGAATATCGAAATACAATTTGATTTCCAAATACATTTGCATGTTTCTTAGTATATGGAGTTCCTAATATTGGATTTTCTATAGACGTATGTATTGTTTGGTCATTTTCAGACAAGGCTGAAATTGTTGAAGAACGATTAGTTGGTGTTATTTGTCTGTTACTTTTTTGAGTTTTAGAAGATTCTCCTATTTCTATGGGAATTTCTTTTTTCTCTTTTCTTGGAGTTATTATTAGTTGTGATCATATCTTTATTTTGGGTTTTACTTTCTTAGGTTCTTCTTCAGGTTCTTTTTCTGATGCTGTTTTTGTTGATTGAGATGATTCAGACATTGTTATCTCTTTTTCTTTAGCTATCTCGCTTTGTTTAGGAAGATATACTCTAGAATCTGTAAAGTATTTTGCTATGATTTCATCATTACATAATGGTGTATCTTTCAGCATTAATCCTAATTTTTTATGAAATTCTTCATCTGAAGATGTTAATCTGGCATCTGGATCTGATTTTTGAATGGCATGAAGTTGTATTGCAGGAATTCTTGATAGTGCGTCTGCATTCATGTTTAATGTTCCTTTTTTGTATTTGATCTCATAATCAAATTCAGATAGTTTTAGTCGCCATCTGACTAGTTTAGAACTTGGTTCTTTAACATTAAATAGCCATTGTAGAGGTTTGTGATCTGACAAGATTGTGAATTTTCGAAAATATTTTGTTGCCCATACGATTGCTAAAAGTTCTTTTTCAATCGTCGAATAATTACATTCAGCTGGGTTTAAATTTCTTGATGCGTATGCAATGGGAAGATCAGCTCCGACAGGACCTTGAGATAAAACGGCTCCAATTGCATAGTTTGATGCATCGGTTGTCAATAAGAAAGTTTTCTTAAAGTCAGGATGTTGTAATATTGGGTCATTTATTAATACATTTTTACAAGTTTCAAAGCTATTAAGAAATTCTGCATTGTGTATTATTTTTTTGTCTTTTTTCAAACAAGATGTCATTGGTTTGGTCAATTTGGCAAAATTCTATATGAATTTTCGGTAATAACCTACTAATCCTAAAAATGACTTTATTTCCTTCACCGTCTTTGGTATTGGGAATTTTTTTATTGCCATTATCTTCTTTGGATTCGGTTTTATTCCATTTGGTGTAATTACATGTCCTAAGAATTCGACTGTCTTGTGTAGGAATTCTGATTTGTCTAATTGTATTTTTAAATTAAACTTCTCGAGTCTCTCAAATACTTTCTTTAAATTTTTTACGTGTTCATGAAGTGAAGTGGAAAAAATTATCATATCATCCATGTATACTAGACATATTCTATTCTGTAATCCTAGTAATACATTATCCCTCACTCTCTGAAAATGTCGCTGGGGCGTTTTTCAAACCAAAGGGCATTCTGTTAAATTCGTAATGACCATTTTCAACATTAAATGCTGTTTTGGGTATCGAATTTTCATGTATCTCGACTTGATGAAAGCCAGAGGCTAGATCTAGTGTCGTAAAATAATTACTACGACCAAGTCGGTCTAATATATCCGTAATATTAGGTAATGGATATCTATTATCAATAGTTTTTTCGTTTATCTTTTGATAATCAACGCCTATTCTCCATTTTTGTATGCCTGCGGCATCTTCTTTCTTAGGTACTATCACTACACAGAGGATGACCAAGGGCTACAGGATGGTCTGATTATGTTATCTTCTAACATTTTCTTTATTTGAGAATTTACTTCTTGTTTATGCACATGTGGGTATCTATACGTTTTTGTGTGCACTGGTATTTCATCCGTTGTTTTTTTCTCATGTTTGATGACTTGATTGGTAAATGTCAATTTTTCATTTGGCTTGTGGAAAATTTTAGGAAATGATTTAATTACTTGTCTTAAAGCATCAAATTCATCTGAGTTTAAATGATTAATACGAAGCAACTTAATAGGGTCATTTGCATATTTATCACTTTCTAATAAAGTCATTTGCTCTATATTAAATATCTTAAACTGTTCGTCAGCGTACGGTAAACTTATTTCCGCTAAGTTGTTTATGTTATATGGGACGATAATAGGCTTATTCATTAAATTATGCACTTCTAGAGCTACTGTCTCGTTTAAAACTGTAGCTATTGTCGATGGTATATAATACGTTGCATTTTTTATCGGTGGTGTAAGTATTTCAATACCATCAGCTATATTTGTATTGAAATAACATACCTGAATTGAGTTGCTTGGAATCTCAAAATTTTGATTTTCGAAATCTGTTCTATATTGAAACGGAATTGTTGTTTTATTATTAGAAAGAAGCATATTAGAAAAATCTATATTTAAATTATTATCTTGTAATGCTTTGATTCCAATAATTCCATCAAAATAGTCATGGAAATTATACATTATCATTTCAATGTTATTTTGAATATTATATTCTTGTAAAATTGGGATATTGATTTTTCCATACGTTTTTCTTGTACCCATGCAAGTGGTTAATTTATTTCGTGAATTAATTATAGAATTTGAAAAATATTCTTCTGCTATTGAGGGTCTTATTAAAGAGGCATGACTTCCTGTGTCAATTAATAATTTACACGGTGGATGTATTTAAAAAGTCCTATAGAGGAAAGGGGTAAGCACATTAAAGCATATAAAAAATAGATAATTGATTATAAATCAGCATGGCAATTGGTTAATATAACTGACGTACAATTCAGCAAAAATAGCATGTTGTTATTGTATATATATATTTGCAAAACTCTAAGTATAATAATTGACATTTAAAAGCAGATTTTTATGCGCTTATATAAATTTAAAAAAAAAGGTTTTTATAAGTATACATAAAAATCATCTAATTGAAATTTTTGTGTAGGTTTTATAAAGGGAAACTTTTTTAATTAAAAGTTATATATATTTTCACACAGACACTTATATAAAAACACTTTAAAGCAATTTTAATTGGAACAACTTTGCTTTTGCAGCATTAATTTTAATATTTGGTTACTATATAAGAGGAAAATCATGTTTTGCAAATATCCATCATTGTTTTTCCATTGATTTCTCTAAATATTTTCGCATCTATATAAATAGAATGTTAGCTAATTATTTTCCTTTTAAAGATGTTTTTCCTTTAACAAAAAAAAAAAGTAGATTGATATGGCATTCTCTCTGGAGAAGGCAGGATGGATAAATAAAAATAGAACTGGAGTGTATTTTCATGTTTTTGGTCAGTTTCACAGGCCTGGATATCCTTTTGAGACCTACTTAAATAAGTTTTCATGTACTTAGGGATTTCATTTGAGAATAATTTTGCTATAAACTTTTTATTTTTATTCCTCTAGAATCTGAATTAATTTGGTGGGTAGAAAACCGTCAAGAGTAATTATGCTCCAGAACATTTTCTAGGTGGAACATGCATGCATATTCATTGAGAAAGGTTTATTTACAAGTTGGCAAACACAGTTGTTGAAAATCTATAAAACTTGCCCAAAGTGTAATTTAAAATCGAAGGGCTTAAAAAGTAATCAATTTCTCGTTCGAGAAAACAAAAAGAACCCCTAGAGAAAAGCTTCAACCGTGATATTTTCCAAATTTGCAGTTTCATCAATTTAATTGCCGAGTAATTAAGACACGATTGACTTGAGTTGAGAAGAATTTTCCATTTCTCAGAATAAAGTTATTTCGCTCTTTGGACATGCAACAACATCAAAAAACTTTTCTACTCTCCAGGTAATTGGACAAACACATATAAAAGATGTCAAAAGTTTCCTGGCCTTTTATATACGAGAAAATGTTGTTGTTATGCATGTATTTTCTTTACACTTCAAGGCAAAAAGTCTTTCAGCTAAATTAAAGTTTTAATGCGTTTTCATTTAATGGCCTTGTTATGGGAATTTTAATTTAATATTGATGACAGCTTTTTCCGGACGGCAAATTGCTTCGTTTATATTCAAATTATTTCCAAATTAGATGAAACAGGTCAAAATAATAATAAGAGTATTTATAGGAAATTTCAATTGAAAATCCTTTACAAGCATTTTGCTGAATATTGCTAAAGTTTGAATTTTAAAAGAAAACTGATTTCAATCAATCAAATTCATCATCATTGAGTTATTTTCGAAGATGAAACTTTTTGTCTGATCGATTGAATTTCCTAATTTTCCTTTCTAAGGTGAGCTTGAAGCAATTTATTGAAAATTTGTAGAATAGGTATTGACCTACTGATACTTAAAAGGCTTCAAAGTGTTTGAAAACTTATAATAGAATTGAAAATTGAAGATTTATATAATGTTCCAATAAGTTTATTGAGCAAGGATTCTATATGATCAAAATTATCGATTTGTAGATAGTAAAATTTTGAAAATCCCAAAGACAAATAATTAAATATTGAAAATTGATTGTAAAGAATAAGACTTTGCTGATTCAAATCCAATTATTTCAAAGAAAACTGGAAATTTTGAAGATCCTGAAGACTCTTCTTTTTATAATAATTAGAACTCAAAAAATTCTACGATTCTACTTCTACAGATTAAAGCTTTTGAAGCTCAATTTTCAAAATTATAGAGTAAATAGGTAATTCTTACCATAATCCGAATCATCAGAAAACCCACCATCTTCATAATCAACATCAGTAAAACTCGATTCATTATCTGAATCAATCAACGCAGTATTTCCATTATTTCCAGTATTGTTGCTACTTTCATTATCCAATATTTCTTCATCTTGTATCGGGTTGGCTGGCCTACTATCATCTTTAGCCGACAATTTGTTGTAGCCCTTATGAGCTGGACGGTTTTCTGAAACAAAATTAATCAATTTTATTTTGAAATATATTATGTACGTCAGCAGGCTGGAGAGAGAAGAAATTGAATTTGTTTGTTCAAAATTCAATTTGAATTATAATAATTCAATACACTGAAAAAAAAAAAAATCATATTCATTGATCCATAAAACTTTTAAAAAGGAAATTTATTCGCTTCGTCAAACTTGAAATTAATTACTGTTTACCCAATTCACTCAAATTTCATTTTGCTTTTTATAAAATGAAAGAAAAACAATAGTAATTTATTCCCTCGCTTTTTTTTTCAGCTTTTAGCCCCCTTTTTTTTTGTCTGAAATACAATTATCATAATTTATAAATATTCAAACAATAAATTTAATTATTATTATATATTTTAATTGAAAGGGGTTAAATTTGAACAGGACTATACAAAATGCTTTTATCGTCCCAAAAGGGTTTCGTGTTACAGAATATAATTTCCTAGGGATTTAACATTAATAATTTTATATTATTATATGAATAATTATTATCCATAAGTGAGTCTTATTCTATTTATCATAAGAAGTATGGAAATGCTTCGAGGCGTATATTATCGACTTTTCTTCACGAAATTTGCATAGAAACCGTGGGGCGTTTTGTGGGAATCATTTTGATGCGCTAACATTATTATCGTGCCTCATTGCACGCGATTTCACTGCAATATTGCTTAAGTTTTAATTAAAACATTTTTACAATCTTATTAGGTTTTTGTTTATCAGGACACAATAAACAAAAATCTATGTATTTTCTCAAACAATTTTCTTGGCCATTATTCAATTAGGTAGAAATCCAAAATAGAAATTTGCAAGTTAAAAGTAGAATTTAAGATATTAAGAGTTTTCTCATTGAAATCCATGAACAATTAAGGATTTATAAGGCTTAATATAAGTTGTTGAGAATCTTTATTGAAGATCCTGAGAGACTTCGCAGGCAGTTTGCAAAGTAATTACTAAATATTCGAGATTTCGAAAGTCTTTTCACAGGAAAAATTAAAAAAATAAGATAATGACTCAGAATTACTAATTTAAAGTTGTTTCGTAGCAGGCTGAAAACAATTTCAAGGTTTGTAGCATTCAGAATTTTAAGATCCATAGAGTCGAAAATCTCGATTCAGAAGTCCTAGGGAATTTTTTTCATGAAATTACCAAGAAAGTTATAAAGGTTTGCAAAATTTCAAGATTTGTGCAGAAAATCAGAACATTTTCAAGTAAACATGTCAGATTCTGAAAGTCCTGAAAATTTAATGAAACTTCTTTTAGAATCAGAAAGTTCTTTCTAAAATCTGTAGATTTCAGGGTCCTAAGAATCTTGAGATTCTTCGAATTTTTTCATAAAACCACCAAGAAATTGTGCAAAATTTCAAGATCTTGAATTAGAACATTTTCAAACGACCATGTAAGGATCTGAAGATCCTTAAAATTAGACAAAGATCTAATAAAACTTCTCTTAGAAGCAAAAAGTTCTTTCAAGGTTTACAGAATTCAGAATTTTAAGATCCAAAAAAATCAAAAACCTCAATTCAGAATCTTGAAATCCTAAGAATCAAGATTCTACGAATCTTTTTATGAAACCACCAAGAATTGTGACAGTTTGCATTTAATCAAGATCTTTTAAGATATAAACATTTTCAAGCAAATATGTAGGATCTGAAGGTTTTTGAGATTTAATGAAACTTCTATTAGAATCAGAAAGTTCTTTGAAGGTTTATGGAATTCAGAATCTTAAGATCCGAAAAATCGAAAACCTCAATTCAAAATTCCAAAATTCTAAAAAATCTTAAACGAATCTTCTTCAAGAAATTGTGCAAAATTTCAAGATCTGTGGAGTAATAAATTATACACTATTAGAAAGAGCATCAAATTCTCTATAAATCTGTGCTGTGCTTGAGTTTGATAGCTCAAAAACTTTTTGAGCAATTGAGCCTTATAAGAACTACAAATCCTGAAAATTTTCATCAAATATCTTTCTCACAGATTTTAAAATATTGTATTGTATCAACTCAATTAAAATGAGTGGGTTTTTCGGTGAAAAAATCCAAATAAATTCAATTTTTCTTTGACAAGGTTGAGAAAAGGTAGCCCAAAGACGGATTTAAAATTTGATAATGTCATATGGTTACCGAGATACTTATTAATGAATTTATAACACCCTGTATATAAGTTATAATGAGTTTCACAAAATTCTAGAATTAGTTTTTAAATTTTTTACAATCTAAATTAGTATTTGTTCGATATTGGGCTGATATTTAAAGGCTCAGATTTAAATGCAAGGGGCAAATCACCTAGGAATTTTTTGCCAAAAATGTGAGGAATTTAGAGGCATTTGTAGGAATTCATCGGAATTTATGAGAATTTATAGGCGATTCGGAGAAATTTATGGGGAATTTAGAGGAATTTGTGAGGAATTTATGAGGAATTTAAAGGAAATTATAGAGTTATGACGTCACTGAGGTTCACATTCTTATTATAAGGAACACTAATAAATGGAAATTTAAAAAAAAAATCTAGTAGTTTTGTGTTGAACATTCATTTTCATTGAAGAATTTTTCTCAAAATTTCACTTCATGATTTTCAGGTTCAATAATTTAAAAAATTCAAAACAATAATGAGTACAGTTTTTGTAGGCTGATTTCCAAGATTCTTCATGTTATTATTTTCCACTGAAAAAATTGTAAATTTTGGGAAAATGAGTTTCTAACCTTCCTGTTCACATGTAAAAAGTTTCAAATTTTTCCGTTCACTAGTTTTTCAGGATAACTTTGAAATGCCTGAGACAATATTTTGAACTAATTCAGTTTTTGTAAGTTGATTTCCAAGATTCTTCATGTTATGTTCCGCTCGAAAAATTAGAAATTTTGGGAAAATGAGCTTCTCACCTTCCTCTCCACATGCAAAAAGTTTCAAATTTTTCCGTTCACTAGTTTTCCAGAAAAACTTTGAAATGTGTGAGACTGTATTTTTAATTAATTTAATTATTGTAGGATGATTTCTAATATCCCTCATGTTGTTATTTTCTACCTGAAAAATTTGACATTTTGGGAAAATGAGACTTTAATCTTTCTACTCTTGACATGCAAAAAGTTTCAAAATTTTGCTTTCACTAGTTTTCCAGGAAAACTTTGAAATGTGTAAGACTGTATTTTCAATTAATTCAGTTATTGGAGGTTGATTTCTAAGATTCTTGATGCTGTTATTTTCCACTAGAAAAATTTGAAATTTTGAAAAAATGAGCCTCTGACCTTCTTCTTCACATGTAAAAAGTTTCGAAATTTTCCCTTGATTAGTTTTCCAGAAAAACTTTGAATTGTGTGAAACTGTATTACCAATTATTTGAGTTTTTGTAAGTTCATTTCCAAGATTGTTTATGTTGTTATTCTCCACTGGAAAAATTTTAAATTTTAGGTAAATGAGCTTCGCCCCTTCCTCTTTACATGCAAAAAGTTCCAAAATTTTCCCTTCACTAGTTTTCCAGGAAAACTTCGAATTGTGTGAGACAGTATTTTTAATTATTTCAGTTATTATAGGTTGATTTCCAAAATTCTTCATGTTGTTATTTTCCACTGGAAAAATATGAAATTTTGGGAAAATTAGCTTCTCACCTTCCTCTTCACGTGCAAAAAGTTTTGAAATTTTTTCTTTCACTAATTTACCAGGAAAACTTTGAAATGTGTGAGACTATATTTACAATTAATTTAGTTATTGTAGGTTGATTTCCAATTTTTCTCATTTTATTTTCTATTCGAAAAATTTGAGCCTTTAATTTTTCTACTCTTCACATACAAAAAGTTTCAAATTTTTGCCTTCACTAGTTTTCTAGGAAAACTTTGAAATGTGTGAGACTGTATTTTCAATTAATTCAGTTATTGGAGGTTGATTTCCAAGATTCTTCATGTTGTTATTTTTTACTAGAAAAATTTAAAATTTTGAGAAAATGAGCCTTTGACCTTTCTCTTCACATGTAAAAAGTTTCAAAATTTTCCTTTGATTAGTTTTCTTGGAAAACTTTAAATTGTGTGAGACTGGTCGAAGGACGGTATTAACAATTATTTCAGTTTTTGTAAGTAAATTTCCAAGATTGTTCATGTTGTTATTTTCCACTGGAAAAATTTGAAATTTTGAGAAAATGAGCTTCTCCCCTTCCTCTTTACATGCAAAAAGTTTCAAAATTTTCCCTTCACTAGTTTTCCAAGAAAACTTTGAATTATGTGAGACAGTACTATTTTTAATTAATTCAGTTATTGTAGGTTGATTTTCAAAATTCTTCATGCTGTTATTTTCCACTGGAAAAATTTAAAATTTTGGGAAAATGAACTTCTCACCTTTCTCTTTACATGCAAAAGGTTTCAAAATATTCCCTTCACTAGTTTTCCAAGAAAACTTTGAAATGTGTGAGACTGTATTTTCAACTAATTCAGTTTTTGTAGGTTGATTTCTAAGATTCTTCATATTGCTGTTTTTTACTGGAAAAATTTGAAATTTTGAAAAAATGAGCTTCTAACCTTCCTCTTCTCTTGCGAAAATTTTCAAATTTTACCTTTCACTAGTTTTCTAGGAAAATTTTGAAATGTGTGAGACGGTATTATCAACAAATTCAGTTTATGACAGGTTGATTTCCAAGATTCTTCATTTTGTTATTTTTCACTGGAAAAATTTGGAATTTTGGGAAAATGAGTTTCTCACCTTCTTCTTTACACGCAAAAAGTTTCAAAATTTTTCCTTCATTAGTTTTCCAGAAAAACATTCAAATGTGTGAGATTGTATTTTCAACTAATTCAGTTTTGGGGTATTTGGAGGAATTTGTGGGGAATTTGCAAAAATTTTGAGGAATTATGTGTAAAAAATTCCCTTTTGAGGAATTGTTTACACAAATTCTGGGATAGTGGTTTACCCCTTGTTTAAATGTAACAAAATTTTACGTAAAAGACATCCAGAATTCATTTGACAGCTGTTATTCTAGAGCCAATAATAATCAAATTTT